ATCTATCTATCTATCTATCTATCTATCTATCTATCTATCTATCTATCATTAGTGAGAACATTTTATTTTGAAAAATGTAATCAACGGAAAGTCGGGAGGATTAAAAAGGTCTTTGCACTTCCGCGTTGTCGGAACTCCAAACACGAACGGTCCAGTCGGAAGAGTTTCGCCGTTCGTGAGCCGGTACGTCAACAGTTATTATTTCCGAAGACGACTTTTATTTTACTGTTTATGACGTTTACCCAACGTTATTTATCCGGTTGTTTAACCGGTTGTTTATGACGTTGAAGAGCCATTTAAATAACACCTAGCTAGCATGCTAACATTAGCTTCCCTGACTTGTACTTTTCCAAAGGAGGCGTCGCTTTAATCACAGAGTGGACTTTGTTCATTGATTACCAGAGCTATCTGACCTGTCTGACTCTCTTTGTAAAACAGAGCTTCAAAATGGATGTTTAATAGGATTTTTTTCCTGTTTCATGACACCTCAATGTTTGTTTTGACAGTAGCATCTCTGCATCCAGGCAGCAAAACGGAGCTGGTCAGAAGTGTTATGTCATCTGACGCCCCCCTGCTGCTGCCGTGCTGTTGACCACATCCATTATATTTATCATGTCTGTTGGGGACAGCCCTCACCTGCTGCTTGGCAGAATCCGCTTCTTGAATCGATGCATCGAGAGTTTCAGGAGGAGTGAACCGGTACCCGAGAGTTTGTGCTATGTCCCCAAAGAGGTGTGCTACAAAATCTGCAAGGACTCATCATCCAGCTCCTCTGCTTCTTCCGGAGCCTCCGCGGGGGGCTCCTTGGTTGGTAAAACCCTCCTGTCCGTCTTTGAGAGTCCCCTTCAGATTCCTCACAACAAGAAGGCGTACAAGTACAACATCGAACCAAAGAAAGGCACCTGTATCCGGACCACTGGGGAAGAATACTGCAACAGCCAGGGCCTTTGGGTCAAAGTGAACAAGGTAAGATGGTATTTCATTATATCAGGAAAAACAACTGTAGTAAACTCTTTCAAACTGCACCTTTTGATAGAGATCAGGACGACTTTTTTTATTTTAGTTTGCTGTGGCATGAACTACTCAATGAACACTTAATACATAAGTGTGCAAATAGCATGCTATCCCTGCTGTCAGGTGAAGATGTTGAACAAAGTCCATTTCTGTCCCCAGGAGCAGCTGGAGGAGCATCGTCCTGGTCAGGAGTTGGAAGAAGGCTGGATCCTGGTGTGTAAACACACAGAGGGCGGTGACAGGTTGGTTCCCGTGGAGTCGCCAGAGGCGGTCAGCAGACAGCAGCAGCTCTTCGGCTATGACCACAAACCCAGCAGCAGGTGGGAGGAGGTGGTGGATGCGGAAAATGCACTCTACATCGGTTCCAAGCCCAAAATTTCAGATTGTGACGCCGCCGCTGTCCAAAAGCTGAGGTATACACACTCATGTGATGACTTCTAGGAAGTCAGAGAAAATTTTATTTATCTAACTTCTACTAATATAGGTATGTCCCTCCCACGTGGACGTATGAATGTGACGAGGACCTGGTGCACTACTTTTATGACCACATAGGAAGAGAGGACGAGAACCTGGGGAGTGTGAAACAGTGTGTGACCAGCATCGACGTGTCTTCATGCTCAGTGAGCCATATTTAGATGTTTAACTCTCATTTAACAATTTATCCTTTTTTTCTTAACACTTAGTTACAATTAGCTCTATATTTTGGTGCCCAACATGGGGCTCAAACCCATGACCCTGAGATTAAGTGTCTCATTCTCTACTGACTGAGCTAGTCGGGCAACAACACGGTTGTAAGTTATTTGCACAGAATAGACTGATCTGGTGTTTGCTTACAGGAGGATCCCAGTGGTGGGACGAGCTGTCTCACAGATGGGGACACTGAGACATACTGGGAAAGCGACGGCATGCAGGGACAGCACTGGATCCGGCTGCACATGAGGATAGGCACTGTAGTCAAGTAAGAGTTTGAACCTTAGAAGGGATATTTTCAGATATTTCAACAGCTTCATCAAAATCCAGGGAGAGTTAAACTCATTTTACTGAAAATTAGACCTTAAGAATGCTGTAACAGAGTTTAAGTATGCTCTTTTTATTGCCTGCAGCCAAAAAGAGAAGGCAGGCAATGATATTTTTTCCCATGTCTGTCTACCCACACATGTTACCAGATAGTCTTGGAAAGTAATCTTTGTATACAACTGATTACCTTCTGGAGTAAATCCATTTCAAGATGACTGCTACAACTAATCGACCTTAGCCAACACAAAAATGGCTGTACCTCACTGACTTTTACAAATATTGAACTAACATGTGGCATGGACTACCATGCCACATGTTAGTTGCACATGTTAGTAGCTGAGAGTCGTTCACAGCAAAGGTATGACAACTTTCAACTCATTTAAGTAATGTTTTTATAACTACTTAACTCTTTAAAATGCTTCTTGTGATGATAACTGTTAAACTCAAATTATTAAGACCAAAGACCACTAATGGGTCTGGGCGATATCTCGATATTTTAAAAATATCGAGATGATTTCAAACACGATATAAAATTAGACTATCGATATAAAATGATATAGTCTTATACTCTACGTAGAGTTGTAATTATACTTGAAAATCCATCAGTTGTTCTCCCAGCCTGCGTCTTCACTCCACCTCTCCTCTCTCCCTCACTGAATACAAACCCAGCCCCTCCCCCACCGCTTGCTGCAGCTGAAGACTTATTTGAATTATAAAACTGAGCTTGGATACGCCGATATGTCTTTGTTGACTCACAGTGGGAGAGCCACTTTAAATTCCTGATAGGTGCGAAAATGACTGGGTAGCTGCTACAAAGGAGAAGTTTGGTGCTCTCCAAGAAATTAACTGGTTGTGAGTGGCAAAGTATGAAGTTTTCTTCTCATTAAGGGGCCGTTTACACGGCGTGTATTTTGAGTGCATCTGCAGCTTTCTCGCTGCGGTTCTGCTGATCATTTACACGACACCAGTGACCCCCCTTTTTGAATCCAGAGGTTTCTGAACCCACCTTCCAGAGTGGAGGTTTTTCGCTGACCCCCCGCTGATAATGTAAACATCTCCCGCTGAGGCTTTGTGTTAAACCACATGTGCGCACGTACGCGCAGTCGGACAGACGGCATATTTCTATCAACATGGCGGCGGACACAGTGCTTTCTGAATTACGATTGATGGAATATATTTTTAATCTCGTAGTTAATCTACGTCAGATTCCAGGTGCTGTGACCGACATCTGTGTTGCAAGAGACACCGGTCTGATCCAGTTCTAATGTCGCTGTTTATAGAACGAGGCACGCGCACACGTCGCGCTGCACTATAACATACTAAATAATAAGTTTAATAATAATAAACAGTATTTATGTTAGTGTGCGAGATCTAATGAAGCTCTGAGCTAAATGAAGCTATCTGGACATTATGTAATTCAAATTTAAAATGATGCTAAACAACTAAAGTTGAAAATGAAGACATCAGGTTTATTTTTTATTTATTTATTCAACACCACAAACTGTATGTCACACAAACACTGATAATTAAACTGAACACACTATTAAAAACATGTTAACTGTAAACTGCATTAATGAACTGGACTCTGCTCCATTTTCATCCTGGATGTCCCACGTTGTTCATCTGGCTCGTTCAGGCTGTCACTCCTTTGATTAATGCAGCTTAAAACATGCAATAGATTGAATAAAAGAACTGAGGGGAATTTTAAATAAAAAGTTCATCCAACAACTCTCTCTTCGACGTCCTCCTGCACTGCACCTGGGCCGAGCCTCGTTCAGAACCGGACCGCCTGGTGGAAGACGGCTTCTTTTCAGGAAAAATAAAAACTCAGTTGGATGTTGTGTGATCAAAGTAAACACAAGCAAACATTATTAAGAACGTTGATTTACCTGCTGTAAATCAGCTACTGATTATCTCGGAGTAAAGTCCGACATTGTCGACTCGGTTCTGGTCCACTCAGCGACCGGTGTGGAGCTGTTGGATGAACCGGTCCCGCTTGGCGTCAAATCTGTCGACTCTTATCCAAAATCCAGCTTTAACTTGTTGTTAATTTGTTGTTAGCTGAGCTTTTAGCCCAGAGGAAAGGAGCGTGCTGAGGCAGCATGCATGTGCATTAGGTGAAGGTACAAAATTCACAGCGCCATCTAATGACCCGGCATGGTAACTACAGCAGATTCGGGAGCGCGGGGGAGATTCCTCCAGATGCATGTAAACACAAAATCCGACCGTGTCATCGCAAATCTTTTCCTCTAATTAACATACGAAAAAACCTACGTTTCCCCCCATCGTGTCCGTGTAAATAGGGCTTATAAAGCACGGAGACAAATATCCAGTTTAGGGTGATATATTTGCTGTGTTTCTTCTGGTATTTAAACACAGCAGTAAACCAGTAAAGCACAAAAAAAGCTCGAACAGCAAAGCTCCATCCATGTCGAAGGAGAAAAAAACTCATGACGCACGCAGCTTTGTACTTTAGAGCGGTGCATTCTCTAGTGTCGGAACAGCCACGGTGCATTCAAGTGCATAGGAACTATAAAATTCAGAAAGAAACAAGCCGTAACCAAACAGAACCGAGCTCAGTAAAGAAGCCAACTACGCAACGATGTGGGTTTTCTAACAGTTTTGTGAATAAAGCTTGAATGAATATACTTCATTAGAATCATACTTTTTAAAGAGCAAGTCAGCCTTTCATTATGTTTGCTCTGTATGTTTTCTGTTTAAATTTTAAGTGCACAGTTGTGTTTTTGGTTTTGTTATGCAGGGAATTTTTTTTTTTTTAGACATTTATTTTGTCCTGTTACAGCTTTAAGCTGTGTGACAATTGGGACAAAGCTTTGACTCAGAAATATATTTTTGTTATTACTTTATGGAAATAAAAAAATATTGAGATATATATCTTTTATCACCATTTATCTTAAAATATCAAGATATTAATTTTGATCCATATCGCCCAGCCCTAGCACTAATACAGGCTAAAAAAGGAAGTCCACTCTCCGAACCAGATGTTTTTCCTTTGATGGTTGATTTATTTAATTGCATCAAAGCAACAAACAAACAAACAAACAAACAATCGTCCTTCTTTCTGCTTCTTCTCTAGTAAAAACCATCAACTCACCCCGTTGCATGCTGGTCGACCTGCTCACATACTTAGAGGTTCCCACAGTCTTTACCTGGCCTCCGAATTAAACAACAAACATCAACAAAATAATTTGTACATTATATTATAACAAAAAAGTTAACCTAAATGATTAAACAAATTATAAAAAATTCAATTTTGAACCCTAAACTTTGAAATGCTGTTTCTCTGTAACTTTAACTACACGTCGACTAAAATGGCAGCATTTCTCTTCACAACATGATCTTACTTTAAAATATGGTGGTGGATATGCGTTCCTTTAAGAAATGCTGAACCTGATGGAGGTTTTATTGTTGTACGGTTTTATTTTTTTAAAGCATATTAAGTAATTGAGCGAGTGAGTCAATAAACATAATCCGACCGTTTTGGGAGAATATTAAAGTTTGTGAACCCTCTGCTCACCCAGATAATCTAAAGGCATTGTTTTTGTTGAGTTTAATCGCTAAACCTAATTTAATCCTTGAGCTTGGTTACAGATTTGGAGCTCTCACTTATTTCCTCGGCTGTTTTATTTTTATTATTTATTGTGAGAATGGCCTTTCTGCGTTCCTCTCCTTGTTCTTCATCATCTGCAGCCAAGATTCATCCTGTTCAATAACTGCCGGCGCTCTTTGAGCACTTTTTGCTTCTGGTTTCTTACGAGGTACTTTGCATTTTTAGTGCTTCCCCTCAACCGAAGCATCAAAACACAAAACAAAGCCTGGTTTGCATAAAGGCTGGTTGCTGTGATAAAGCAACATGTGTCAGGAGCAGAGTCAGAGGAGGAAACGGAAAGGTTTTTAGAAATCACACCCCTCCCCCATCAAACCAGAGACAACCAAACCTGAACCCTAATCTTTATAGTTGTTTTGTTTACCGGCACTTTAATCACTTTGTTTACTCCGGATAAGGTTTTATGGTTTATAACACACATGCTTGTCTCCATCAGTAAGGTGATTTTGACCGTGGACTCGACGGACGACAACTACATGCCGAAGAGAATCACGGTTTATGGAGGAGAAGGAGACAATCTGAAGAAGCTGAGTGACATCACCATAGACGAGTGAGCTCCGTTCAATAAAACATTTATTAATATTAACACTAATTTCCCTCAAATAGATGCAATCTACACTAAATCTTGATAACATCCTCATCATTTCCTTCATGTAAAACCAGAAAACTCCATGATCTGTGTGTAATCAACATCTTGTTGTTTCTGTTTATCTGTTAGCAATCTGATTGGAGAGGTGTGCGTCCTGGAGGACATGACGTCTCACCTGCCGGTTATTGAAATTAGAATTGAAGAATGTAGAGGTCAGCTTTTTTTTAAAACATTAGCTTTGAGATGAAAACCTTCATCACAAGACAATAAAATGTTAAAGAGGCCGTTTGCGTCATTGTGTAGTTATTGTTAGTTTGTTGTCTGTACTTCGTGACAGTTAAACAGATATTTTATTGTTCAATAAGCTCAAATGAATCCTAAACGCTGTTTTCCTCCACTTTGACTTTTGTAGATGAGGGCATAGACGTGCGGATTCGAGGTTTAAAGATCAAGTCTTCGTGTGAAAGGGACCTGGGTCTGAACGCTGATGTTTTTCAGTCCTCTAACCTGGTCCGTTACCCCCGGCTGCAGGGCACCCCGCCTGACATCCTGTACCGCAGAGCCATCGTCATCCAGAGGTAGGCCAGCTGAACTCTCACAGATTAAACGTCTGCTCGAAGGACGGTTTAATTCCTGATGGTTCGTGTTTCCTCTTGGATCTGCAGGTTCATCAGTCTCCTGGACAGTGTGCTGCCACACCTGGTACCGGCCTGGGACTACAGCCTGGGAACATTTAACCAGGTCAAAGTGAGTCGACCCCGCTTTTAATAAAAGTACAGATTGTGAAAAAGAACAAGTCAAACACAGAGATTCATCTGTGATTACAGTGCAGCGAACACGCGATTTGGTCTAAGAACTAGAGAGAGAGAGCATTTTCTTAATGATTTGACTACAATTTACTGAACAAGCTAAACTGAGTTGTTAAAGCTAAAGGAAGCAGAACACCACCTAGAAGTAGTAAAAAGCTAGCTAGAAGTAGCAATATAGCTTGTAAAAGTAGCAAAAA